CATCGATTGTGATATTAATGTGGAATCAGATAACGAGACAATTGACGGAACAGTTGATGAAAATGTTGTCACAAATCAAACACAAAATATAAGTATTACTGAAGAAACAAATGACAAACAAAGCCAAGAGTTGTCTCAAAGAGACGACAAATCAATTCATAAAACTCAAGACAAAGGGTTTTGTGTTGAAGAAAACACTGAATCAAACATTGAATCAAATGATGGCATCGATTGTGACATTAATTGTGATTCAGATAACGAGACAATCGTTGGAAGTGTTGATCAAAATGAAGACATGAATGACAGACAAAACATAAATGAAAATGCATTGACACCAAAATCACACAATTATTGTGAAACAAATAGTAAATCGATTGGAAGTAATGAAAGAGACAATAGTTCTGGAGATGAAGACATGGATTCACAACAGAATAACAACATATCGGCAGTGAATGACCGGATGTCTCACAAATACAGACGATATTTCTGTCCACAAGAGAACTGTTTCCGACATTACTCTTCGAAGAAAGGTTTGGATTATCACCGAAAGAATGGCACTCATGAGTATAGAGACAAGACATACATCTGTGGTATCAATGCATGTGTTTATAAGACTTTATCCAAACATGAGTTACAGAAACACATATCGAGTGAACACAACGAGACGTTTGTCTGTGATTTCATTGGCTGTGGAAAGAAATTTATGACAATATATAACCTGAAAGATCACAAAGACTTGCATTCGGATGAGACCTATGAGTGCGATGTCGACGACTGTCACGAAGTGTTTGTCACTAAACGATATTTAAATCGACACAAAAGGATAAAACACACGTCAAAGACATCACTGCCTGGAAGTGATAGCAATGAAAGCACAACTCAAGTGAAGATCAGAAAAGATAATAAATGCGAAACAAATGCCAAAAGAAAAGTGAAATCAAATACAAGTGAAGCGAAAGACAGCGAAACAGAAGAGTATAATAACGGGTCGAGTGATGAAGAAATGGACGACAAGTCAGACACCGATTGCACCCAAAGACGGCCTAAGAAGAAGAAAATCAGTGTCAAAACTAAGGGTCGGTTTGTCTGTGATTTTATGGGATGTGATAAGACATTTGCGGAGAGACGTGATCTCAATAATCATTACGACATTCATTTGGGAACAACCTATCGATGCTCTGAAGGCGACTGTAAGGCAACGTTTGCCACTATATTTAGTTTAAATAAACACATTCGTGGAAAACACGGCTTTCAATACCGTTGCGATTATAAGAGATGTGATTATAAGACCGGATGTCTATCGTATCTAAAATCACATCAAATCAGTCATTCAAATGAACACCAATTCAAGTGTTCAATCAATGGCTGCGATAAGACTCATAAAAGAGAAGTTCAGTTGAATAGACATCAGTTGAGAGCACATCCCGACTCGTTTGCAGACATACCATGGATTGAATGCTCGCATACGGGCTGTCAGTATAGGACTAAATGTAAGCCAAACTTTACGGAACACATGAAAACTCATTCAAAGCCCTATCGATGCGATGAATGCGGAAAATCTTTCGGTTCGAGTAAAAGTCTTAACACTCATAAGAGGAGTCACAACAAGTCGTCGCAAATCCCGTGTGAATGGTATGGATGTGAGCGAAGGTTCACTACTAAGAGTGCAATGAAAGCACATATGAATTCACACACTTGTGAGACCACATACCGGTGCCAATGGCCCGGTTGTGACAACACTTATGTTAATAAAACGTCGTTAAGTATACACCAAACGAGAGTACACAAGGGTTTGTTGGAAAACAAGTGTCATTGGCCTGAATGCGAGTACTCGACCACTAATCCCATTAGACTTCATAATCATATCGATAGACAACACAAGGGTCTGCAGGACTACCGGTGCTCTCATACGGGCTGTGATTATACGACCACTAAATGCGGGGAATTAGACACACATATGAAGATTCATAACAACTGACTTTTGTACAGCTAAATCTTCTAGGGTTGGTTATAATACAAACCTTGTTTTATACAATTATATTTTTCATTTTTTATTCAATTGTAAATTTTGATTCTGTTATAAGTAAATAATTAATTTATATATAACCGTAGATAATTTAATTTTACTAACTTTTACTAAATGTTTTATTAAACGACGTTTTATATTAATAGTATTGACAACACGTGTTTGTGATTATCACTGCTGTGTTTATGTTTAGACACCAAACATGGGATCAATTTGTGGTGATTTTCGTGGTTTAAATCAAAGACAATTGATTTCAATTATTAATGAATTAAAGCGTGAAAATAGTTGTTTGAAAACAAATTTATTGAGATTTCAATTATTGACTCATAAATATGAGAAATGTTTGAATTCATTGCAAGAAAGCAATGAAACAAATGTTGAAAACGATTGCATAAAACAAATCAATTCATTAAAAGACACCAAAAATTGTTTCATTTCTTTAAATGATATTCAAATCAATTTGAATACAAATGAAGAGAAAAGTGAATCAAAAGTCAATCAAAACTTAAATGAATTGAAGACAAAAACAGACGCAAAGAAAGAGACAGAAGAGTATAATAACGGGTCGAGTGATGAAGAAATGGACAGCAATTCAGACTCTGATTACACCGAAAGACAGACTAAACGCAGAAAACATGATAAGAAAACTGGCGGTCAGTTTGTCTGTGATCTCAAGGGATGCGGAAGAATATTTAACGCAAGAATTAGTCTCATTTCACATAAACGTTCGCATTTGGGACTCACCTATCGGTGCCATGTCTTGGGCTGTGGACGCAAATACAAGAACAGAAAATGTTTTATTAACCACAAGCGGATCCACTCGAGTCGGACCTATCGGTGCGATGTCGTCGACTGTCGGTCAGTGTTCGCCACTAAAGCCTATTTAATACTACATAAGAGGCGAAGACATAAGTCTAACAATCAATTGTTTGGAAGTGATTGCAATCAAAGGGCAACTCATTTGATGACAAAACCAGATGTTAAGA